ACAGAAGGTGAACAACAGGGTCCTACAGGAGGTGAACAACAGGGTCCTACAGAAGGTGAACAACAGGGTCCTACAGGAGGTGAACCACTGAGTCCTACAGGAGGTGAACCACTGGGTCTTACAGGAGGTGAACCACGGGGTCCTACATAAATAGGAATACCCTAATCAAACAGGACAACAGAAAACACAAAGAACCCAACATCATCATGATGGAAAGGATGAATGCCTTTTATCTTATAATGTGTATCATTTCTTCTTGCGGTGATGGTAGGATTGTGTTTCAAAGAACATCTGCACAAACATGTCAGATGGGGCCAGGAATGGTGGTGCGCCTCTAATCCCAGCACTCAGGAGGCAGAGGCGGGTAGATCTCTGTGCATTCAAGGCTAGCTTGCAGAAAAATGTGTCTGATAACCTCTTTGGGGTGAAGGTAAAGAACAGGTGACAGAAGGGAGTCTGTGACTAGCCACGAACAAGTGCACGACATAATTTCTTCACTGCTTAATATCATTTGCAAAGTTTCTAGCCACTGCAATTTCATAAACTTCTTTTCATATATTTCCACGGTCCTATCCATGTTGAAAAAGAGCCAAGGAAACTAGGCTTGCAGGCAGGTTGAATATGCATTCAAGGCAAGCAACACCAGTTCGATACCCTAATTAGTGTAACAAGAGACTTGGTGAGCAACCAGGGATTTCATAACCCTGCTAATTATGCCTGGGACAAACAGTTTCCATGCTGTAGCTACCCATGTGCAGAGGTGCTTGTCCATTAAAGGGGAAAAACAGTACACGACTTCCTTCCACTGGGAAACTGACTTGGAGTCTAGTGGCCAGAAAATGGGTGCTCAGAGAAGGGGCTACCCACAGGCCACCTCAGACTGTCATTTCCCAGTTCTCATTCTTTGCTAGGGATGCAATCATTTTGATTGATTGTTTGTTGATGTGCGTAAGCGCATTGCACCACCTTTGTGTCTGGTGCCTACGGAGGTCAGAGGAGGGCACTAAATCTCTTGGAACCAGAGTTACAGATGGCTGGGAGCCACCTGTGGGTGCTGGGATCTGAACCGAGGTCCTCTGTAAGAACAGCAAGTTCTCTCAACCACAAACCTGGCCTATGCAAAACAAAACAAAACAAAACAAAACAAAAACCAACAAAAAACCCACTGTCTCAAAAGTAAGAATCCCAGAACCCTGCACCCTCTATCTATGGTCACTCTGTGCGCCTCATTTGAGTCCCCATCCTTCATATTCCCCAGGTAATGTGTGACCACCGCAGCCTTCCTTAGGAAGAATCCTGTTTGGCCGAATTAGCTGAGCACCCATGACTCGACGCTGCTTCTTAGTTTTCTATCCAGTGGCCCCACCCTGCTTCCTGGTTATCAATCCCCTTACCCACACCACAGCCAGAGTCATTCCCCATCCCGGACACTAAGATCTCTGTTTCCAAGGGTCTAACACAGCTCGTTCTGCCTCTTTAACTATGGCCAGGGATGCAGCAACAACATTTTTTCTCTTTTGTTTTTCTACTTCTTTTCCTAGATAGGACCTTGGCTTGAGTCTGCAATCCTCCTGCCTCAGCCTTCCAAGTGCTGAGATAGCAGGTGTATCTGCCACCACATCCAGGACCAAAAAAAAAATTTTTTGAAGAACAAATATTTTTAAATGATCATCCCTTCCTAGTGGGAGGCCCAAGGCTCGAAGGATAGCCAATGGAGAGTCTAGACCCAGGTGCACAAGCCTGCTCTTTACCCGCTACACTTCTTCACCAGGAAAACAAATTCTTTTAATCTATGGGTGTTCAAAGGTAGGGAAACCTTGTCTCAAAAAAAAAAAAGCACCTGAGTTTTCTAATGTCATGTACTACATACCTTTCCTGGTAGCCTTGCTGTGGTGAAGGGAAGATAGGAATTTCCCGACACCTTTGGATTTTCCGCACGCTTTTTTCAAAACGGTTGAAGAATAGACAATACGAATGTGCTGGTTGATCTCTCTATCAGGTGAATTCAAAAATTCTGGGTAATCATCGATCTGAAAAAGAATTTGCTCTCATTGAACAGAACGCCTACTTATTTGGGGAAAATAAATCCTGTAAATGAAGGGCGAGTTTCATGTGAGTTGTTTTCGTAATTTTCCACTGGGGTACGTTTTCTCTTCTTGTTCTCAATTCTTTCTCTAAAAGTTCTAGTTCCTATGAAAAATACAACAGGCAACAGAGGCCAAGAAACCACTTACACTATAGGATTACTCAATAAAAAGCAATGGTGTTCTTGTTAAAACACATTTTTTTATAAACCTCACTGTTTATAATATGTGTGTGTATCTGTCTGTCTGACTGTCTGTGTGTATCTCCACTTTGTGTATGTGTGTGTGCATCTCCACTTTGTGTTTTTTAAGGTGTGTGTGTATATGAGTCTGTGTGTGTCTCTGTGTGGGAGGGGAGTGCCTGTGTGTGTATATCTGTGGGTATACATGTCCCTGTGGATGTGTGTCTGTGTGTCTGTATATCTGTGTGTGGAAGTTGTATCTGTTGGTATGTTTGTATCTGTGAGTGTGTATGTGTATCTGTGGGTATGTATGTGTATGGTGTAGGAGTTGTATCTGTGAGCATGTTTGCATCTGTGAGTGTATACGTGTCTGTGTGTGTGTGCGTGTGGGTGTGTGCATAAGTCAAAGGACAACTTTTGGGAGTCACTTCTCTCCTTTCATGGTGGGATCTCGGAGTGGAACTCGGGCTGTCAGGCTCACACAGCAAACACTTCTACCCACTAAGCCATCTCGCCTTCAACTTAATTTTGAAAATGGATTCTTTAGTGATAAAACTGTTTCAAACTGTATGCTCGATTGGTTAAACACAGGATTCTCTGTGCAGGAGGCGGTGTGCTGCGAGGGTTTCCAGACGGTCTGTGAACACAGACTCTGGGTTTAAGGCATTAAAAATTGTTCTTTTTCCTAGAAAGTGCTCTGCTTCCTATTTAAAAAAAAAAGAAAAATAAAAGAAGAAAGTCTCAATCTATCCTTTTGGAACTTTTATTTATTAATCTACTCCCTCTTAATGACCCACAGCAAATGTATGTGATTGGAAAATCAAGGATAAAGCCAGGTCACCATTAGGGACATGCCCAAGCCATTCATTCAGAACTCAGGGGCTTCTGTTACAGACTTCTCTAGAACTAAGCATTTGGATAAAATTTTTCCTGATGTCATGCAGTTTCATCTTTTTCTCTTCACAAATATAGAAAGGAACTAGCAGGGGCTGAAGAGAGGGCTCGGAGGTTAAGAGCACTGCTGCTCTCACAGAGGCCTGAGTTCAGCTCCCTGCACCACACGGGCACTTGGAACAATGCACGTCTCCAGTTCCAAGGTATCCAGCACCTTCCTCCGACCTCCATGGGCACCAGGAATGCAAGTGACTACATACATATATAAAACAGAATAAACACATGCACAAAACTTAAAGATCTAACAAAAATCTGTAAATTTAAAAATTAAATATAACTTAAGAGTATTGAAGAGAGGAGAATAAACCAATGAAAAGTTACCAGGCTCCACCCAAATTCAATTTATAAAAATTACAATGTTTAGGATCCAGGCATGCAGCACACACCATAATCCCAGTACTTAGAAGGTAGAGGAAGGTGATCAAGAATTCAAGGACAGTCTCAGCTATTTAGTGAGTTCAAGACTAGGGCTACAGAAGACCCTGTTTCAAAATACAAAAAGTTACTTCCCATGTACGCCCATAGCAGAGCGCTTGCCTGGCCTTTGTCAGGCTCCAAATGCAAACTTGGAGACTGGAAAAAGGTGGAGCACAGACTTGCTCCCTTTCCTCCGCCAAACCTGCCTCCTGCCGTCCTACTTTGCAGGGAATGAAGAAAAAAGGAAAGCACTGACGGCCTCAGTAAAGAAGCAATCGGGCACTTTCAGAGTGTGGAAGCATTTGTAGGACGCGTGACCTAGTATCACTAGTAAATGTGTGAACAGAAACAAGAGGAGGAAGAACTGTCACAGGGTAAAGGGAACTTAAGAGACAAGCCTAAGCCAGCATTTCTGGTTCTCCCTTTGAACAAGCTCGCTTGCAAAAACAAAACAAACAACACATTTCTGGGCTTGGTGGATAAAATGGTCTGAGCTCAATTCCTGAGTTCAAGCGTGAAAGGAGAGAACTGAGTCCAGCAGGTAGTTCTGACCTGCAAACATACGTCATGACACGCTCACATAAATATACAGGTGTGTGCATGATAGCCACACTTAGATCATTTATCTAATGGGACATTAGGTACTAGAAAAAGCTAAAATGTTCAACATTTCTCAACTTCCTTTCAGGATTTAGCATCTTCCATGAACAGTAAACTTTAAACCTCCCACCTGCAGCAGGGTAAGACAGCAACTGGTTAATTACAGCTTAATTAACTGCCTATGCAAGAGTATTTCTAAGACAGTATAAAAGATGGACAAACAGCCAGAAGGTGATGGCGCACACCTTTAATCCCAGCACTCAGGAGGCAGAGACAGTGGATCTCTGTGAGTTCGAGGTCAGCCTGGTCTACAGAGCTGGTTACAGGACAGCTAGGGCTGTTACACAGAGAGACCCTGTCTCAAAAAACAAAACAAAACAAAAAGATGGACAAACAGCAAACCCAAAGAATGGAATATATTGACAAAATGTCCAAAATATGAAGACACTGAAGTCGGTTTCCTCCTAAATGGCCCACATCAGCAATCACCTGCGTTTCACACAGTTTAGTCATAAGTAGAAGCTGTTTTTATGTTTGATAATTAAATGTGGATAGTTAAAAATGTCACTGTAGTCCCTTCAAGGTGGCTTTTTCCTTTTTCCTTTACTTGGACTTCAGTATACCAAGCCCTAAAGAAGTCTTAGCAGATGGACTATTTTTGTAATCTATGAAAATTGCTAGCATAAAGTAATCCATTCACATATTCTGAAAAGGATTACTAGCTTTGTAAATGGGGCTATGTCCATCGAAACACTGATGACCCCTTTAGACTATTTCAGATCGCTCACAGCTAAGAAAGATTAAAAGAAAAAATAATAAAGTCTTGGTCCTTGAGCAACTTCTCACCTGGGAGTCTTCCAACTTAGTCTGTCCTTGAACTTCATTAATACCAAGAGGCCCATTTCAGGTTTTGAAGACCAAAAACCTTGAGCAGATTGCTACAGCATGGGCGAGTTTAAAAAGAATTTTTTATTATTTCTTGGTGATTTTTTTTTTAAATGAGATGGGAGTGTTTTGTTTGCTGCCTAGGATGGCGTGAAATTGTCCCCCTTCCAGTCCCTTAAGGAGCTGAAATTTCAGGGTAAACCAGCAAGCTGATTACCTTCTCTCTCGTTTGTTTAGTTCATCACATATTTTCTGAAAGCATTTACAGAAAGCTCTGATTTGAGATAGACAGAATGTAAGGTGGGATTCTATTTCCAAAGGGTGTGGTCCTGGGGTTCAGTCACCACTAACTTCACCCCTTTGGTGACCCATGCTCAAGAACCACATAATTCGCATATTGAAGTAACTATATTTTTCCTATTGAAACCCCCAAAACCTTCTAAAGAGATCACACACCTCTGTCAAGAGGTTGCCAAGGGTACGTGTTCAGTAGTTAAAGAAGTCAACTTAGAGGTCAAAGATCTGCATTAATAAATTCCAGCTCACGCATTTCAAATGCATGACCCATATTACTCTCTCACCCTGTCTCCTCTTACATGAGAGACATGTAGACATGCCTTTCTTACGAAGCCGAAGCTATTTAAAGTGTTTTGCATGTGACGGGCATATAGTACATGCTCACCTGACACTTGTTACCATTGAGCCATATTCCTGCTCAGCACAACATGTGTCTCTGATAATGGCAGCGAGGGACGCTGTGGAAGAGGACCAGAGGATCCATCTGTTTCCATTTCAAATTCGTCTGACACATAATTTGAAGAGATGGTATTTATCTCACAATACTTCTCTGTTTGTTGACTAAGCTATTAAGAATCTATGTGTTTATATCATTTTTATCATACTTATATAGACAACTGGTATTGACTTATCTTATTAATATAAAAGAATTGCTTTCACAGTGCAAGGAGCACATTTTCTTGACTGTGAGCAAGTCAATCCACAAAGACCTGATCCAGCCAGGCGGTGGTGGCACAAGTCTTTAATCCCAGGACTCAGGAGAGGTAGATGGATCTCTGTGAGTTCAAGGTCAGCCAGGTCTACAAAGCAAGTTCCTGGACAGTCTGGACTGTTTCATAGAGAAATTGATTCCCTCAAAGTAGTTTCCTAGCCTTGTCTTAGATTTCTATGAGATTTTAATGCTGGAAAAAAAAAAATCCCTTAACTTTTGGTAGTTAACTATTTTCTAATTTGTTTAATTCATCATATGTACTTTCTTTTTCTTTTCTTTTTTTTTCTTTTTTTTTTTTATCGATACAGGGTTTCTCTGTGGCTTTGTCGCCTGTCTGGAACTTGCTTTGGAGACCAGGCTAGCCTGGAACTCACAGAGATCCACCTGCCTCTGCCTCCTGAGTGCTAGAATTAAAGGCGTGTGCCACCACTGCCTGGCTACTGCTTTTTATTGTACTTATCTGAGTTGCATTTGTTATGTGTGTTCATATATTCACATGGGAATATTCCTGTGTCCAAGCCTTTATGTGGAGACCAGAGAACAGTCTGTAGTTCATTTTCTCCTTATACTGTTAGGGTCCCACCAACTCAACAGGCTGGGTAACAAAAGACTTTACCTGCTGAGCACTCTAGCCAGGCCCAGACATTACACTCCGTATTCTGCATCTGTACTTATGTGTGGAGGCAGTATATGAGTGAGCACATGAGCTGGTGCCAACAGAGGTCAGAAAGGGCCCTTAGACCCCCTGAAGCTGGAGTTGCGGGTGATTTTGGGCACCAAACATGGGTGCTAATAACCAAACTCGGGTCCTCTGCAAGAGCAGCCAATGCTCTCTGCCACGGAGCCGTTGTCCCAGCCCCACTTCTGTCCCATTCTTTTTGAACCGACAAACATTTTAGTTTTTTAAAATTATTTTTTTAAGTTAATATATAAAATATTGGGTTTCATTATGGCGATTTCATATGTATGTGCCAGTATCCTTTATTCTTATTTCAGGAGCCGGGGACCACTGGAAGCATACAGCCATGGGGCAAGAGAGACAGGACGCGTGGCGGGAGAGGCAGGGGCTGATTGTCCTCGCTAGCGCTGAAGAACCAGTTTGTGGGAAAGATCTCTGTAGTTTTGTCATTTTAAAGAATGTGCCTAACACAGGGGGGTCTCCAGAGCTTGCTGAGACATGAGAGCCAAGTTCTAGAAGGGACCATACCTCAAAGGGACAGACAGAAAGTGATGCGGGAAGACATCTCTCTGTGCACAAGTCCATGCACTCAACACACACGCACAAACACGCATACACACACACACGCACACACAGGTTCAATCACTCCAACACCCATGCACACAAACACACACATATTTATTTGTATTAAGTATTTTTTAATGTATCTAGGGGCTAGAAAAATCTTACAGAAATCTAAGTTTGGTTCCCAGCTCCCACACTGGAAGCTGGCAACTGCCTGTAATGCCAGCTCCAAGGAACCTGACACCCTCTTCTGGTCTTCTGAGGACTCAAATAATAAAAATTAAAAGAAAAATATAAAGAAAAAATGTGTATGACCTTAGAGAGACTCTAACAAATTGTGTTGTGTTGTGTAGTCTACACAACAGCAGCACTACACAACAGTGTGTGTGTGTAGTCTATACAACAGCAGACCTCTACAGAATACCTTCAAAAGTAGCTTTTCATGAAAATATCAGCACTTTAGAGGCTTGCCCAAGCTTCCTAGCCCACTGAGATGAACTACATCAAACGCCTGTAAGCATACTTAAACACTTCCTAAAAGAGAAATTTCACTCCTTCAAAACATGTATGGATTTCTGATCTAACTTTTTATACCCACTACCTCCATCCTTTTTCTTCTTTTCTTTAGAAGAGAAAATGGGATTTCATCTACCTGCTTGCAGGGTTGCTGTTTTTGTTTGTTTGTTTGGTTGGTTGTTCAGTTGATTGGCTGGTTGGTCACTTTTGTTTTTTCCTCCCCAAAAGTGTAAGTACACCTTAGATTCACAGGTGTCTACCACACAGCAAACAGGGAGAGCTGGGGCCCAGAAGTGTTAGGGCTAGCTTGCTCTGGGGCTTACAGATGTCCACGTGACACAAGGACAAAGGCAGGGAGGGAACCAGAGACAAGTGGACACTAGCTAAGCAGCAGATGAGCTCGCAGAGCAGGGTGGGAAGTGAGGACAACGGCAGACACACAGAGGTGTGGTCTTAGAGAGAGGGCAGCGCTTCAGCAAAGGGAGGACGGGTTCTCCGGCCACCCGGCAGTGACACAGTGTCAAATGTGACTGCCCTGACATAACAGAGGGTGATGACATGTAATACAAGAAATCGGGGATGATGAAATTCTCAAAGAACTAATAAAAATATTAAATTCTTTAAAACTGGAAAAACTTGCAGTTTTGTGGTGGCTAAAGATCCCAGCACTTGGGAGGCAGAGGTAGACAGATCTCTGTGAGTTCGAGGCCAGCCTGGTCTACAGAACCAGTTCCAGGACAGCTAGGGCTGTTGCAGAGAGAAACTCTGTCTCAAAAAATCCAAAAAATTAAATTTTCATTCATTCATTCATCTTAAGGGGAAACCTATGGAGTCTAGTGTAAATCTGTAGATTATAACAATCCAAGATCTATTTTCTAAGATCTCAGAAAATGAGATCAAGACATTTGTGCTCAGCAGGACCCTTTCTCGGGAAGGATAATCTCAACAGCTCACTCACCTGAAATGCCATAAGGAAACTGCATCAGCTTCCTATGGAGCGGAGTGTATGGCCACTAAGACACATTGCCACTCAGCAACACACACTTACTTCCTTTCAGTTCTGGAGGTGAGAAGTCTAGACAGGAGCCTGGCCTTGGGGGATCAGTGAATGGGGGAGCTCTGTGGATCAGCACTTGCCTGGGATGCACCAGGCCTGCATTTAGTCCCCACACAAAGACTAGAGTGGGTCTTGCTGAGCTCACAGTAAGGTACCAGGAGGACTGTGCCTTTCTGGAGGCCCCTAGGGAAGTCTGTCTCCTTGCCACCCAGCCCCTAGATGCTGCCCTTTCTCCACACTCCCAATCCCTTCTTCTTCTGAAACTAGCAATGGCTGGCTGGTCTTTCTCAGGCTGCCTCTCCCTCTCTCACTTACATGGTGCCTACCAGGATACTACTAATTTATCTGATTTTATTTATTTACTTTAAAAAATGATTTAGTTTAATTATGTGTATATGTAGAGGAAGGCTGTGTGTCTGTGAGCACAGAGTGCTCTGGATGCCCGGAGCTGGGGTTCCAGGCGGGTGTGAGGCACGTGAAGTGGGTGCTGGGAACTGAGTCAGTCCGGAAGAAAGGTACGAGTGCACTCTGAACTGACGAGCCATCTCTCCAGCCCATGTTTGTTTACTTTTCAACATGGTCTTGCTGGCCCCACACTCATGATCCTCTTCTGAAGTGCTGGGGTTCCAGGCATGGGCCACCAGGCCCAGGTCAGACTCCTACTTTAAAGTCAGTGGAGTTGCATTCCCAATTTCCCTTGTCATCTGATATAACATAGTCACAGATCCCAAGGATTTGGAGTGTGGCTATCTCTGGGGAGGAATTGCTATCACAACTTCCAACAATAACCTACACTGTCCAAGAGGGACAGTGACCCTACAAACAGTGTTTAAATATTAGATTTGTGCAACTCATATATGGTTACAACACAATCTTCTGGGGTTTTTGGTTGTTTGCTTTGGGAAGTTGTTTCATTTTGTTTGCAAAATGGGAGACTGAACTTAGTCACCGTGAATTAATAGTCTCCTGCATTCTGGCTCGGCTGTTTAATTTTTTTTTAAAAAAAGAGTAAAGGCAATTTATTTTTTAAATTAGCTCAGAAGACCAAAAATAATGACAAAGATTTACTTTTTTAAAGAAGAAGAAGAAGAAGAAGAAGAAGAAGAAGAAGAAGAAGAAGAAGAAGAAGAAGAAGAAGAAGAAGAAGTTGTTGTTAATAGATGTTGTTAATAGAGCTGGTGAGGAGGCTCAGCAGCTAAGGGTGCTTAATGCCAAGACTGATCACCTGAGTTTGAGCCCAGGAACCTCAAGATGAGAGACCTGACTTACATAGCTGTCCTCTGACCTCCACATTCTCACCATGACACACACTCACACTCACAAATAAACACACAAGTTCACACAAAATAAAAAAGTGCATTAAATAAAAGTTTTACAGAAACAAATTAGTGTGATCACAGCTGACAGGGGAAATCTGAATTTAAAAAAATAAAACTTCATTGAATTTTATTTTTTTTTCTTATAGTGCATTGGACCAAATTTTGATTTTCTAGGCAAAGCAGTCAGGAGCCTCGCCAACTTCTCCCTCGGGGATACAGGCTCAGGCAAAGGAAAAAGGAGGCGAGACACCTGTCCCAAGGGAGAAAGGAAGAAACACCTGGAAAGCAGCGCAGATAAAGAGACCAGGAGGTAGTGGGAGGGGAAACCAGAGGAGGCTGCTGGCTCTTACAGTCAACCAGTTCCCAGAGGAAAGAGGGATGGAGGCAACATTCTAGAAACTGGGACGCGCTCAGCGAGGCCAGATTGCACCTCCTGAGACTCGGCTCTGATGACACTCCTTCCAGGAAGTTTTCTCATTCAGTTTGGATCAAGTGGCAGCCTGAAAGGAGCAAGTATCCAGTGCACATCACGTAAATTCATTCGTTCCCTCGCTTAGCCTGGGCCAGTCCCGTGTTAATTAAACATGAGCGGCTAGAAAGTAAACAAGCCCTGGCAGCTTAACTCGCTCGCAGCGTTAGTTTGCGCGGGTGTGGGCTCCCGTCCCTCCCACACAGGCTGCAGACTAGGAGTTTAAAGGACAAGAGGCTGGCTTGAAGGTGTGTTTCTATAGGGGGGCGAGCTGTCAAATCTCCACAATGCTGGGAGCAGGGGTAGACAGATTGAGAACGGGGTGGGGACGTTGTTATTTGAAATTCTCCCTCATTCCCCAGCTTTCCCGCGCTGCTGTTTTCACTGACAATATGTGGGGAAGTCGTGGGCGGGATGGAGAAGGTGTTCCTCCTTTCGCCGGTGCAGGAGAGGGATGCGGGAGTTTAGGAAGGAGCCGCCCGCCAGCCCGCCCTCCCGCGATCCTCACCAGGTCAATGGCCACGACGTCCCGCAGAGCCACGACCCGCCGGATGGACTTGGGCGGGTTCTCGGTCAGGTAGATGAGCCGGTCGCTGAGCACAACGTACTTGAACGTGTGCTTCTCTGCGTCGGACACCACGATGCACGGCTCGTAGGCGCGGACGGCGTCGTAGACCTCGGGTGCCAGGTGCCGCCGCAGGAACGCGTCCAGACGGCTGTTCGTGCGCGCCGGGAAGCCGGACCGAGCGGGGCTAGCCATGCGGCACCCGCGACCAGGCAGAGTGTCCCCGCTGGCTGTGCCTCCACGACACTCGGTGGAACCCGTGCACGCCACAAAGCCGAGCGCCAGCTGCCTCCGCCACCACCGCGCCAGGACGCAGGGAGCCGGCCCTAAAGCCCAGGAACCCGCTCCGCGGTCTGGTTTCCTAGCCCCCTGCCCCGCCTGGTCCCGCCCCTAATCTTTGTCCGCACCTTCACAGCGATGGGCGGGGCAAGACTGAGGTCTTTCTCTCGGGGTTGATTGACAACCGAGAACCACTCAAGGTCTGGGAAGGAATAGTTAGGGACCTCCATCCAGCTACTGAGTCACATGGTCCCATACAAACTCCATTGATGATGGAGGCAAGTTTTAACCTGATTTCCCCTTCAAGAGAAACTTGAAACTTTTACGGATTTGAGAATCCTATAATGACAGATTTCGTCTTTGACCAGAACACTGCCTGGTTTGTATGACCATAACACTGACTTTCCAACTTTGTCTCAGAAGCAGGACTCTGTCTCAAGGGGACTCTCAAAAATTGCTCTGGTAACGCAGGACCATCTTAACCGTGCACCTGTGTTCCCGAGAACAATGGGGAAAAATGAACGCACGGTTGAAAGACCCTCTGGAAATGGAAGCTAATGGGGTGAAGGATGTGGATTGTGCAACCCTAGAGATGCAGAGCAATAAAGAGTCCGCTTCACGTTTGAAGGCCTGGAATTGCACAGAATGTCAGGTTAACGAGATGAAAAGGAGACAGAAACTTGCTTGACCTAGGTGTGCACTTCCATTTTTATTTCAAATCCTAGGAAAGACATCTTCTCCTCCCCCCTTTCAATTCACTAAAGACCCAAGAATGGAACCAGGTGACCCACACAGTAGGCCTAGCATTCCAGAGACTGAGGCCTGAGGAGAGCCATACTGGAGGTCTGACTTTGTGGGTCTAGTGAGTTCTGGACTGCACAGCAGGACCCTGTCTCAAAAATAAATACAAGGAAAAGATACAGTGAAAAGATACAATAAAAATATTATCCCGCTATTTACTAACAACCCTTAATATAATCTGATATTCCTTACGGTGATTTATATTCTCCTTTCTTTCACATTTTACTGTTATATGTTGAATATCGTAAACAATTTTCCATCCATTGTGGGAGAAGAGTCGAAAAGTATTGCAGTGTGTAACCAGATATTTAGCCCCCTACACTAGGGAAAGAGGATTGCTTAGGCCTAGCTAAACAAAGCAGTAATAAATAGAACACGCTATTTCTTTTCTTAGCCTGTATTTGGTAAGAGTAGGGAACAAGTGCCACCTGCTGGCAAAATCTCAGAGTGTCCCCAGAGTTTACCTGACTCCTACTGGTAGCGGGCAGAAAGGTGAACCCTAGCCACTGCCTAACAGTCCACCCCACAACGGCGGCTCGGTGACAGATGACTGTAACAGCAGAGGGAGAAAGAGAAGTCCAAGGGGAAAGCCCCACTTCAGACCTCTGTCCTGTCTCTGGGTTTCTTGTTTTCTACCCACTTCCCAGGACCAAGGCAAACAGAATGTGAGGACCATGACCAGAACAGGCAGCGCACCTGCTGTATGTGCCCCGAAGCCCACTAGGGATCAGACATCTTTTGGTGACCAAGACAGCAACCTTAATAAACCTTAAGATGCAGCACACAAAAATGGAACTGATGATGACCTCATTTAAGCCTGGCGACCCACAGAGAAGTCAGTATCATGGTTTCTAGGCACTCAGTGTTCTACACCGTTGCCAGGGCAACAGCAAAGTTCAGAGTGCAGGGATAGGGTCAACCACAGAGGAAATCGTACTGGGTTTGGAGGCAGGGTTTGGAGGCAGGAGGATTGGATCAGATGACTAACCCTGCTGCTCACTATCTGTGAGATTTTTAGGGGAAACATCACTTAACCTTGCAGAGCCTAAGTCTCATCACATATGAAAGGCATCTACTAATGCTTGCCCTGTCTGCCAAAGAGTGGAAGATCAGAAAGCCCTGCAGACACTGAAGCGTCCATGTTCCCTGGGCTTTCCTAATCTTTCCATAGGCAGCTAAACCCAAACGTCCCTGAGATAAGCACTTACTTTTTGAGTTTTGTTTTGCTTTTGCTTTAGTTTGTTTGTTTTTTGTTTCTTTGGCTTTTCAAGACAGGGTTTCTCAGTGTAGCCCTGGCTGTCCTGGCACTCGCTCTGAAGACCAGGCTGGCCTTGAACATACAGGGACCCGCCTGCCTCTGCCTCCCGAGTGCTGGGATTAAAGGCTTTCGCCACCACACAGCAATCACATGTTTCTTTGCCTTCTAAGCCCATCCAAACTCAAGAAACATTTGGCATAGATTCTGAGCAACCAAGCATTTGATAAACATTTCCACGAGAAGAAAGGAGTATTATTTATATGGAGCTAACTCAAATGGCAGTCATTGACCACCATGCAAACAGAGAGGTGGGCTCCGTCCAGGGTTGGCCTCCATCCAGGGTTAGCCTCCGTCCAGGGTTAGGCTCCATCCAGGGTTAGCTGATTGAACTAACTTGAAATTACAGAAGTCATGAGAATAACATGAAAGCAGACAAACTGGGTTCAAACTCAACACCTCGGTTTCCCCGACTGTGAATAAGACTAAGAGCTCCAATATCAAAGCGTTGTTAGCAAAGCTTGAAAAGAATTGAGAAACAGGGTGGGGGCTGGAATGTAAAGGATTTGAGGCGTGAGCGAGACTCTGGATTTGATCCCAGCACTGCCAAAAGTGAAGACAACGTGGTGGCAGTGTGCCCGCTATCTCCCACTCGGCAGGTCTGAGACACGGCCATTTGGAACTCACGAGTCAGTGGAGCTGCCCCGGTGTGGCTGAACATGTGCTCTTAGAGCAGCTTCGGGGCCCACAGGTCAGAAGGCCTAGGGCCCTGGAGCCGGGGCTCAGCGCTGGAGAGTGACGGCTGCTCTCACAGAGGACCCGGGCTTGGCTCTCAGCACCCATGTGGTGGCTCACAACATTCCCTAACTCCAGTCCCAGGGGACCGTGCACTCTTTTGACCTCTGTGGGTACTGCACATGTATGGTGTACATACATACATGCAGACCAAGCACTGATACACATAAAGTTTTAAGGTTAATAAAATAAACAAAAGGGGGACTGATTTGGGAAAACCCTAGTTATTCTACTTAGTATTCGTGGATATTGTTCAGTTAAATATCTACAGTAATTTAGCAGTCAGATGTGTTGGAAGCCGTGGAAGAATACAGCAGACAGCAACTGATAATTCAGATGCCAACCCACCAGAGGAGTGGCTCTGAGGGAGGTTGGCCCTGCCTAGACAAGGCCCTCAGGACCATCGGCTCTGGAAACTGTTGCTCACTGTTGCTAAGGCAGTTTGGTGTCTCCCAATACCTTCGTTGTAGTGTGTGATCTCATGTGATGTGTATATGTAATCTCATGATTGCATCTCAATCTTATGGGCACATATATCTGTGGGTGGTCAGGAAGATGACTTTTCATTTAGCTATAAAATTTTGATATAAAGAATACGTATTAGGACATGTTCCATAACTAGATCTATTGTCCTATGAGGACTGTAGACACTTAAAATTCTGCTGTGTTCCTTTTGCTCAGACTAACTGCTCACAATTAGCTCATTTTACCTCAGAACAAGTTTAAACTAGACTATAGGCTTTTTGTAAATGAATCGTAAGCTCAAAACTTTGCACCTATGCACAAGGTCAGAGTTGCAGATGTCCAATCTAGGTTGCTACACAAAGCACCCTAAGAAAAGCTTGCCAGTTTTTCACTTGCCAGTCTGCTAACAACTGACCTATGTCTCACAGCTTGTCACGGGGCACTGCGCTCCCCACCCCGTCTGGTTACAGTCGTATTCCTGTAACCTTGAAACCCTTGTGCTGCCATGGTACATGGCTCAGTTTCCTAATGCTTACCCTAGAATGTGCTTTTGACCAACAAGAGGTTAACTCTTATAGTTTTTTATTACTGCTCCAAGCCTCGTGAGAATGAGAAAGTTTGGAGGCTAGAGGAGAAGAAGCTAGGAGGAATTAGAAGTAGGGCAGGAGAATTGGAATAGAGGCAGAACAATTAAGAGACTGCTTCAGAAATGCATAGAGTGGGAGAAAGAGAGAGTTTGCCCTCAGACACCCTAGGAAAAGGTTCCTTTCACTTGCTGTAACATCTGATCTGAACCCTGAAGAGGATCTTGGGGCTGGGCCCCAAAGGCCTTTGATATAGACAGTATACAGAGGAGAAATCCACAAAATCTAAGAAAAAATGCAAATGCTATCAATTAAAAGGTTTTTTTCCTGAAAATGTGCAGAGTGAGAGACCTTGGGACACTCAGCCCTAAATGGGACATTTCCTTCGAATGCCTCTCCTAGGTCTCTGTGGAAGAGGAGGCTGAAAGATAAGAGCCAGAGTGGAGGGAGGACGCTAAGGAAGCAAGAGCCTCTAAATCAGCAGGATCTATGCACACACAAACTCATATCGACTGAGGCAGCACACACAGGACCTGAACGGGTTGGCACCAGATAGGGTCCCAGAGCTGAAAGGAGAAGGGGACACGTGCCCCATCTCTAACCCAGAAGCTTCTCCAACTGACAGACAACCGCTACAAATGAAAAATCAGTTTCCTCCAAGGAAGTCCCACTGGGGAGATAAACACTCTTCAGGGTGGGCCCCACGTCCAGAAGAAGATGGCCCACACAAAATGAACTTAACAGCATCTTCAGAGGTTTCAGAGATTTTTTTTAACTTACAGATCCCTTGTATATATGCTATGGCTCCCATTTGTTGTGTTTTTATGGGATTCCCATGGGTGCAAACGTGTGTGTCTTGGCTTCTATGTGTTTCTTATATTTTTTCATTAGCTCTTTTTCTTCTGTTTGTTTTGCCCTATTCCTATTTGTTTTATCTTTTTGTATTTTATTATTATTCCTTAGAAGATTGTTTCTAAGGAGACAGAAAGGGTGTGGATCTAGATAGCAAGGGGGTTGGGGATAGAACTAAGAGGAGTGAGGAAGGGAAGCCCTCATCAAAATAAACTGTACAAAAAATATATTTTCAATTAAAAAAAGTCACAGATGGGTTTTGAAAAAGAACATTTTCTGGGACTGAGGAGATGGCTTGGTGGGTAAGAGCTCT